ATTTGGGGCATATTTATGTTGAAATCTTTAGTTTTTCAGCTTAAACTTTTAGGGATTGATCAGCATTTAGTGTTTCTGTTTCAATTACTTTCCCTATTCAAGTCCAAATTAAATTAAGATAATCTCAAATAAATTGGTATAGTCTTTGCTGAAATTGCCAGAGGAATTTTATTGAAGCAAAACATTGAACACATTTGCTTTTTGCAAAGAAGTCTGATGCTTGAACTTCATGGCTATGAATGTTAAAAATTTTAAACACAGATAAATATCTGTTGTAATGTTTAAAGATGACGTAAAGCACTTTTGGCTCTTCATGTTATTTCAAATGACCCAGGTATCTCCAGCTGTTACATTTGCCCATCCCTGGGTGTTAGAAAGTGAGGCAGATGTTTAAGCTCTGGAGCTAGAATTGATGTAGGGCAGCTTTGTGTCTTCTCTGGTCTGCAGAAGTTGTCCTCTGTATTGAGTGGCAGTGATTAGACCACCCTAAGCCATGGGCCTTAGAGTCTACTTATAAGTTGGTGAGCTGCATAGAGGGAAGAAGCACCCCCTAGAAAAGATGTGAATTTGGGGGTGGGGAGAGGGAGGAGCTGGGAACCCTTCAGCTCTCCAGAAATTCTTAAGGGACAAGAGACCAGGTGTCCACCTGGAAAACCGTTTTCTTTTTTTTTTTTTAAGATTTTATTTATTTATTTGACAGAGACACAGCGAGAGAGGGAACACAAGCAGGGGGAGTGGGAGAGGGAGAAGCAGCCTTCCCGCTGAGCAGGGAGCCCGATGTGGGGCTCGATCCCAGGACCCTGGGATCATGACCTGAGCCGAAGGCAGACGCTTAACGACTGAGCCACCCAGGTGCCCCACCATTTTCATGTATTGCAGAATCTTGGTCTGTTGAGGAATTTTAGATCTCCTATTTGCTGTGCTGCCTCTCCTGCTAAATTTTCAATTAATGTAGGGGCATGTATTTATGTGGTACTGTGAAGAATCACCCACATACAACCTGAAATTCCACAGTCTAGATTCATTTGAGTGAAAACACTTTTAGAGAGACCTTCCCTTTTCACCATCATCTAGCCATCCTCTATCTTAACAGTATTTTTTCCTCATAGCACCATACCTGTCATTGCATTATGTATTTGTTTATTGTCTCATCTTCTTCACTAGAACGTAAGCTCCATGAGGGCAGGAATGCAGTTTGTTTACTGATGTAACCCCAGAGTGGGCATGCCTAGCCACATAGTAGATGCTGGTATTAGTTTTCTCGGGCTACCATAGCAAATTACCACAAACAGAAAGGTTTGAAACAATAGAAGTTTATTCTCTCACAGGGCAGGAGGTCAGAAGTCCAAAATCAAAGTGACAGTGGGGTTGGGTAGGTTCGTCTGGACACTGAAAACTGTTCCATGCCTCTCTCTTAGCTTCTGGTTGTGGGCGTCAGTCTTTGGCTTGTCCTGGCTTGTAGACATAATCCCAGTCTCACGTCCATCTTCATATGACCTTCTTCTCGGTATCTGGGTTCTTTTCTGTCTCCTATAAGGACATTATTTGTATTTAGGGTCCACCCTGAGCCAGTATAATCTCATTTTAATTAATCACATCTGCAAAGACCCTATTTCCAAAGGAGGAAGGTGACATTCTCAGGTTCCAAAGGGACATTAAATTTTGGGGGCAGAAGAGGGGCAGTATTCAACCCACTGCAATGCTCGATATTTGATGGACGGATGAATGAATTCACAGTGTAATTCTAGGCTGTAAACTCCTTGCGTATTTTTCATTACTCTCTTAGTAATCGTGCTGCAGAAGGTAGGGTTTAACAGGTCAGTCTGGTCCCAGATTGCTTGGGCTCCAATTCTGGTTCTGCCACTTCCTAACTGAAATCTCGGGCAATTACTGAACTTCTGTAAGCCTCAGTTTTCTCTTGTAAAATAGTGACATTAAACGTTAGCTATTTTTTGTCTGCAACTATTTTAAAGCACTTTACATTTTTAAAATTCTCACATAGCCTGTGTATTCGCATTTTACAACAAAGGAAACTAGGTTTGTTTCAAGAATTAAAAATAGAAAATAGGGGCGCCTGGGTGGCTCAGTCGTTAAGCGTCTGCCTTCGGCTCAAGTCATGATCTCAGGGTCCTGGGATCGAGCCCCTCATCGGGCTCCCCGCTCCACGGGAAGCCTGCTTCTCCCTCTCCCACTCCCCCTGCTTGTGTTCCCTCTCTCGCTGTGTCTCTCTCTGTCAAATAAATAAATAAAATCTTCAAAACAAACAAACAAAAAAACCCAGAAAATAGGTAAGTCACTTTGTGAAGTACTTGGAACATAGTGCTTAGAAAATCTTAGCTATAATAATGATAAATGTGACTTAATCTCATAATTTTAAGACCTCTGTTACAAATTGATTCATGAATCAGAAAAAGAAACCTTGTTGTGAACTGAGGCACCTCAGTTATTGCTCACATGGTCGCTGTCATTGGGGGTGCACTATTCCTGGGAAGACCAGGCAGAATGCTGGCCAAAGGCAGGGGCATTTCGACAAATGGCAGTAAGGGACCCTGGTGGGGGAGGGGAACAGCACTAGGTGTGTGAGGACACTAAAATAAAATTCCTTTGGAACTTTCGCTGGGCCAATTCTTACTAACTTCTTCCCAAATGACTGTTCTGGTGTATTAGAGGAGAGGATTGTGTCCTAGCAATGTATTCAGTAAACGGAATGTCTACACAGGCTACTTTTAACATATGCAGAATATTTCAGTGTGCAGATATGGGTATGTTTTTTTCTTCTTTTAAACTGAAAAAAACTCTCCCCTCCCTACAACAGGTAAACTTCCAGTTTGCCTGTTTCTTGCTCTTTAATATTTTTAAAAAGCCAGCATCTTTAGATCACAGCTAAAAAGTTTACATTCTAAATTCCACATTATTTTCAAGTATCTTTCCATAGCTTATATATGTGTACATTTGCTTAGTGTATTTATTCTACTAGACTGAAAGTTCTGTGAGGGCAGGAACTCTTATTTTGTTCATCTGGCAGCTAGCAAATCCTAAATGAGTATTAGTTGAATGAGTAACTAAGTAAGTCATGGGGTAGCATCTCTATCTTAGCTACTGCTTGCCTATTATCATCCTGGGACGCTGGCCGCCTCTTTAAAATATCTCTTGTTCTCAAATTGCCTTCATTTGTAGTACTAAGCACTAAATAGGCCTGTAATATATGTGACCAAAGTTTGATCTCTAAAATCACCCTTTTCAGAGGTATATTCACAACCTTTAAGTTGATTTTTCCACAAATCTCTTCAAGGTTTGTATTTTTTCTTTTAAATTATCTAATTAGCTGGATATAATGCTAGACAATAAAAATTTCAAAAGGCTAGAAACGTTTCTTGTGAAATTAAAATATTTTAAGAAACTAACTGATGGTTGTCACTTTAAGCTGAAAAGCAAATGTGGCAAATTTTTAAAAAGGAATAATTCAGATAGGTCATTGAAGATTACTGTGGGCCCTCTGCATAGTCAAAGTACTTTGGATATGTTAGGAGACTTCTCACATTTTTGTGATTTCTTACATTATAAACCTTTGTTACAAAGTATGTAAAAATAGATGTTTACTCTCACGCTAACAATACTTCAAGTATTCACTCTGGTGCATTGATAACGAGAACTAGTTGGGGTTTTTTTTTGCTGGAAAGAAGTTTAAGGAATTCTTATTTTACACCAGCAATGTAAGCAGCTTTAGTTCTCAGAACATAGCATAGTTGTGGAAGAGAGAGGGACGCTTGTCTACCTACACTGGCGATCTCAAATCCACTGACGTAGATACTTTAATTTCACAGTTCTGGTAGCACCTCCACCAGAGGGCAGAACGTGGAAGGGAAAGGAGGTGAAAAATTCATACTTGCCTTCAGAATGCCTGTAGAAACACTGAGGGGTAAATCCCACCCTCCTTTTGCAAACTGAGCTAACTGGGGCTCAGATCTGCTCAAGGTAGACCTGGCTGAATAATCCGCTAGGCTCTTCGTTTTCAGGCTGGTGTCCCTGCAGTAGTGATGAGGTCTGATGAGGCAGTATTTTAGTAAGAACACAGGCCTGACATTCCACTGCTTCCAGGCATCCCAGCTCAGCACTTGGCTAGCTTAGGCTGGCTACTTTGGCTCCCTAAATCTTTCTCATCTCTAAAGTAAACATAATAATAATACCTCAGAGAGTGGTTGATAGAACTAAAAGAGAGAATGCACATATGGTACTCAGCACAAAGCTTGCCACAGATACCAAGAGCTTAATTGTTGTGAATTATGATAAACTTGTCAGATGCTGGATTTCAGGTCTGATGTTTGGAACACTATTTTACTATACACATGCAATATTTCTTACTTTTTCATTTCAGAAACAAAATACTGATTTTTCTCCAATTTTACAAATGTATACTCCCCCGACCCCAGCAATAATATTCAAGGGGCAGGTACCTGATACATACTTTGTTGACTATGCATGGCCTCCACCAGAAAAATGGAGATGGATTTATTCAATGACCTCATGAGTCATTTTTGAAATTTCCATTAAGATCTTGACTGAAGTTGGATGAAAACTCATTTCTAAGAAAAATGCAATGTATTCTCCTGCCCCCTTTCGCCAAACATGTGACAACTGTCTTGGGCTTCAAATGGTAAAGTAATCTTTACCGTTGTAAATACTTGCAGTTCCCTCCTTGATGTGTCTGGAGAGCCAATGCTAGTGAATGACAGAAAAGTGGAATCGTTGACCTCTCAGTTGCAGCCTGTGGATTCCTCCCTAGGAAATTGCCACCTAGGTGTATGGAAGCAGCCTGAGGTTCTCCCGCATTCCTGGAGCCTCAGCAATGTCTCCGTTGTCTTGCAAAAGCCGTTTCTTCATGTAAAATGTAATAGAGGGCAAGTTTCTATTTGCCTAATGCAAATAATGCCGGCCTTCGAAATGTTAAATCTTTTTTTTTTTTTTTTTTTGAGAAAACAAATTTGGCCTTTAATTGCCAGTGCCTGCCGTTATTTTGATTTTTACTTGGCTAGGCTCTGGCTAAAAGAAAATGGTCTAGGATGGGACAAGGAGATTTTGGCGAGCCGAGAAGTAACTCTTTTGCTCCCAACTACTCTGTCTCCCACAGCCCAAACTTTCAAGTTTCATCCTTTTCTTGCTGCCCTCGAGGGGCGTAAATTTGGTGGGATGGGGGAAACAGGCAGTCCGCTTGGCTTTCCCTCTGCCCCTGGAGAAGAATTTTGAATGCAAAGAGGTGGGGTTGCGGAGGATCTGTCCTTAAGGGCTCTTAAGGGTTGGACCCAGAGACGGGAGTGAAGGGAGGGAGTGGTCCGCGGGTGGGATCTGTCGAGCAGACAAAATGTGGGGCCCCTGCCCCTTGAAATTTAACTTGTCTCTTACTGAGTGAGGAGCAAGGCGTCCCTAGTACGCCTCGCCCCCCAGCCCATCCCTCGCAGGGCACGAAGAGGAGAGAACAGCGACCAGGGTAAGAGTGGGCAGAGGAAAAAGCGAGACATGTTCTCCAGCAAACAGCCCCCTGCCCTGGCTCGGGAAGAGCGCTACCGTCCAGCCCGGGGTCCGGAGCAGGTAAGACCCACGTACAGCGCTTGCCCGCAAACAGGTCGGCTGACCTCTCAGTCCGGTTGAATTCAGGGTCAACCCCTCCCTCCCCTGCGCCCTCGTCCCTCCGTGCCACCTTCCTCCCCCGCCGTCGGGGAGCTTTCGGCTTCCCCAGCCCGGCGCTGAGCTCCCTGCAACCTGTCCTCGGGCGCAGGATCCTCTACGGGGCGCTCAGCGTCCGCGACCCTCGCAGGGTCACGGGCAGAGTTTCCTTCAGCGTCAGAGTCGGGTCGGCCCGGAGACCCCGCTCCCCTTGGCAGGGGCGCCGCCACGTCTCCCACAGAGTCCCTCCTCGGCCGGGCGCCCTGCGCGCAGCGAGTGGACTGGACGGCGCGCGGGCGCCGGCGGAGCCTGCAGCAGGAGCCGTCGCGACCGGCCACCCGGGGGTCCCCCGCTTCCTCGCTGCGCCAGCGTCGCGGACGCCCGACCTTTGCGAGCACGGCGCAGCAGCCCCGCCGTCCCCAGACGTAGGTCCGCTTTCCAGCTGCGCGCGTCTCGGTCTCCATCCCTCTCAGAGCCCGGACTCGCGCTCGCTTCCCCCCGCGACCAGCTGGTGCCTGGAGCTCGCTGGCCCACTCTGAGCGTTGGCACCCCATAACCGGTCCCGCTTGCAGCGTGCCGGGAACTCCCGCGTCCCCAGCGCGCAAACTTCGTCTTGGCGCAAATCCGCGGGGGCACACGGGGCGCCAGCCTCCGGGGGGCGCAGGTTCAGAGCTGCTCCGGGTTTGGCGGGCTCCGATCGCGTCCTGGAAAGGGACAGCGCTGCCCTTAGTTCTGGAGAGGAAAGGTAGGGAAGAGCATCACGGACGGTCCTCACTGGCCTGAGTCCCCAGGAACAGGGTCTGATTCGCGCCTGCCCTTCTTTTGCGGTGTCAGGAGGGTCCCAGAATCCGCTCACTGCCGCTCGGTCCCGGCTGCGGGCGGGGACTCTGCGGGCGGGGACTCTGAGGGCTGAGCGGGCGAGAGGAAGGTGGTGTCGTGTCGGATCCTGTGGGGACTCTTCCCCAGCTCCCGTGGCGGTGGATGGCGGTGCCGGCGCCTTTAGCACTGCGGGTCATTCCCAGCCCGAGCCCCGGGCGCTGCGAGCTGCGAGCTCGTCGGGAAAGCCGCCGGGTTGGGCATTCGCAGGGAAGCTGTCCTCGCAGTTCATGAAGTGGAGCTTTCCTCCCGCGGCAAACCTCTGAGAACAATGCGCCACGAAGCCTAATTCATGTATAAGACTACGTACGGCGGCTTCTCTATGCACATTTGTAGTTTGTAGGGTCTTTTGGTTTTGTTTTTGTAAAGGAATTTACTGATGGAAACAAAACTGCTAAGGAATGCCAGACTGCTACCAGAAAGGGAGCGAAGTCAGGATCGTTGTCCAAGAACACACATTTTAGCTGAAGGTGTTGAAATTAAAGATGCTGCAAAACATTAATTTTTGGCATAACCCGGAGAGAATGAGAAGAAACAATGCATTTTTTTTAAAAAGTCATAAAATCCATTTTTGTTAGTCACAATACAACACTCACCTGCCTGTTTGTATTATTTGGTGCCGGATAGTTTGTTTGTATGTGATATTATGCTAAAAATTAGTCCCCAAAACCAGATTCCTGGGGATTGAGAGGTTAGACTAGAGATCTAGGCACCCAGTGCCATCACCACACACCAGCTGGGGTTTCATTTTGGAAGAGCCACCTTTCCCACCATGGTTTTGCCTGGATTTCAGCACTTGCTGGCTCTGTTGTCCTGCAAGCCCTCGATTGCCCCTCTCCATTGTTGGGGGGCAGACAGGAAGGAGATTGGAGGAGAAGCTGAGCAGCCTGCTATCTCCAGATAGTTAGCATCGTCACGCTCTAAAATCTGTATTTTCAGATCCTCATACTGTTAATGAGGTACTTGGTTGCTCATTTTTCCTCTTTGCCTTACCTCTAGCCTCCCTTGACATAAAGACCTAAAGACTTGGGCTTCAGGGTTTCTGAGTGTCTCTACTGTTGGGGAATGGGCATTCCCTGAAGACCAGGAAAGCTGCCATACAGAATTTTCCTGAATGGGTCCAAGGGAGAAAGGTTTATTTCATGTTCCACTTTGGCCTTAATAAGTTATTTGCCAAGCATGTGTCCGTGCAGCCTGTTTGCCCCATCAGGGTTTTTGGCGTTCCCCTTTGCCTGGCCAAGTAGAAAATGGGGCAGGTTGGCTCAAGAATACTGACCTGTATGGAACACTAGATCCACAGGAAGCACTCAAGCAACCTCCAGACTTAACCGGTTCCATGAAATCTACTCAGACACATGCATATGCACATACACATGCATGCGCTTTTGTGTTTTAGACTGTTTTTCAGTGGGGGTAGCAATGGAAGAAGTCACAAAAATGAAGGCTGCTGTTAGCTCACATGCCTTGGAGGGGAGAGTATGGATTTTGGTGTTTAAGCTAAATTCCAATCTCTGGCTTTACCCCTTAAAAGTTACAAGGCTCTGGGCAAGTCAGAAACTTCTGTTGAATCTTAATGTCCTCATTCAGCAAATGGGGATAATACTACTGATCATTTATAAGAATGTAGTGAGGATTAAGGAAATGAATATGTCCTAGAAATACTACCCATATTAGTGGTCTCCCTAACCTATTTTTACTTAACAGAACTGGTCTCATCTCAGACCCACTGAGTCTGTCAGGCTTTTCTCCACATCCAGGCTTCTGTGATTCTAAAGGTGTGCTCTCCAATAGAGTAGCTGTTGGTCACACATTGTTATTTAAAATTAATGTCATTATTTAAGTCCATCAAAATTAAATCCAATTAAAAATTCAGTTCTTCTCTCTCACTAGACACTTTCCAAGTGCTCAATAATCACATGTGACCACTGGTTACCATATTATGTTGATAGAACATCTTTATCAATGTGGAATGTCCTCTTGAGCTTTCTTTTACTTGAGTGATAATTTAATGAGGCTCTTGGAGGATACAGGTTTTCTGTCCAGTGCCTCCTTTTGCTTCTTTTCTTCCCAAGGAGTGGTTTTGTATTGCTAAATCACTTCTGTTTTGTTGACGTCTCTGACACTGCTGGGGTATTTGTTGAATGGTAAATGGCTAGATCCCTTTATAAATCAGTCAACAAGTGTGAATTAGCCACAGAGTCCTTGGGTGTTCTCCCCTCAGCCTTGATGATTTTTGTTAACGTATTGTTCTTTTCCCTCACAATGACCTTTATGGCTGATGGTTTTCCTAGTTTTGGATCAGAGACTCTAATCTAATAGAGGGAGGCTCTTCTATCTCCCTTGTGCCCTGACATGTTGATTTCTTATAAGAATGACCATACAAGAAGACTAGGTTCCATGTTTGCCTCAAATCCACTGAGAATGTTCAGTTTATTCAGATTTGAAACTAGCACCTCCGCCTTATTCTGTAGGACCCCGTCCTGAACCTATCACCATTTGACAGACTGTATATTTTACCTCTTTATTTGGATTGTTTTCTGTGTCCTCCTACTCTCAGATAGAAGCGCCACATAGGCAGAGATTTTTCTGTTTTTTTTGTTCATTGCTAGAAGAATGCCTGCTACATAGTTGGTACTTATTAATTATTTGTGAATGAATGACTATGCAGAGACATATTTGGGACTAGCTAGGATAGATTCTGTATTAGGTTCCCAGGGCTCTGTACCAAATAATTACAAACTGTGTGGCTTAACACAACAGAAATTTATTCACTCAAGTCCAAAATCAAAACGTCAGCAGGGCCATGTCCCTTGAAGGTTCTGTGGAGGAATCCTTCCTCCCCTCTTCCTAGCTTCTGGTGGTTGCTGGCAATCCTTGGCCTTCCTTGGCTTGTAGCTACATCACTCCAGACTCTGCCTTCATAGTCTTTCCCTGCATTTCAGTGTTCTTTTTTCTTATTATAAGGACACCAGTCATATTTGGTTTAGGGCTAGTCCTAATCCAGTATGACCTCACCCTAAATAAGTACAAAAGCAAGACCCTATTTCCAAAAAAAAAAAAAAAAAAAGGGTCACATTCTGAGATTCCAGTGGACATGACCTTTGGGGGACACGATTCAAGCCAGTACAGATGCAGATAAGTAATCCTTTCCCTGCCTGGATTCCTAACCCCCTAGAGGTTGATTTTGTTTCTGGGGCTTTGCTAAAATCAGCTTTGTGCCAAATACAGTCCACAACGTTGGTTATTCTTACAGACAAATAGTCACCGCGCAGGATGGGAGATTAGGTCGGCTTTCTACATGCGTGTGGAATCCATGGGATGGTTCATTTCTGGATTGCTGGAACCGCTGCCCCTTCCTGAGCCTGTCGCTGTTCCCAGCCCTGTCGCCAGCCTCGACTTCTTTCTCTTTGCTCAAATAGAGCCCCTGTTGTCCCAGAGCGCTGGTTGGTCTGCCTCATCCCCGAGCATTCTGCAGCAGTGTTTGCTCAGCTCTGAGCTCCGCCGAAGGGTGCCCATCAATTATGTTTTCCGCTCTGTCTGCTGGCAGTTGCCTCTGTCAGCTCACCTTCCGGCAGCTGTTTGAATATTCTCCTGCAGTACATTTCTGATGTCCACACCATCAGAGCTGGTGGCGACAAGTGCAGTGTCAGTGCTTGATGGGCTGGTTGGAGATGCAGGGTGGTCCTGTAGGTGATCCATCTTGCCATTCAATATCAGTGCTGAAACTCTGTTGGCAGCTCAGGAGGATATCTGTGGAGAAAGGCCAGGCATCCAACAGTGTGGCTTAGGAGTTGGGCAGAAAATAAAGGGGTGAGTGGCGAAGAACATTTTGGGGCCACTAGTTGTGCTCAGCCCAGGACCCCTTTGAGCCTTTAGGCTGACAGTGTTTGAAGAGCACCTTTTATTTCCAGCAGTTGGGACACTTTTAAAGAAAGGTCTTTATGCAGCTGTGAAAGTGAACCGTGTCACTCTCGAGAGCCTCATGAGGTCATTCTGCTAAAGTGTCACAGTAGCATGGTAAAGGTTGATAGCACCGGGAAATCTTAATG